GCCAGTGCTATACAAAAATATGAGTTGCTTGTGCCAATGTGTAGATGAATGATGAATCAGACCTTGGTCCTTGTAATTGGTAGATGTCTATAGACGGCGTTTGCAAACGATTCAGCGATTCCTGTAATGCGTCTTGAACAACTTGTGGGTATTTGTAGGGGTGACGGGCTGGGAGAACAGGAATTGGTCAACCCAGCAACTTTCCACTTCACCGTTTAGGTACTTACATGCAGAAGGAACGAATTTGGTGGCTAATACGACGCGCTGATCACGTTGCGCGAGTGTGAAGTGTTTGTCTAGATTGAAGCCGACGATATGTTCGGCGTAACCATTATCGCTGCCATCTACAAAGCGTAAAATGAGAGCAGTCCATAACCGAAACAGTGCTCCTTACAATGTTCGGAGACGTCAATGAACAATTTAGAGTAGATCTAGAACAATACATATTCGGCAGGTTGAAGGTGGCTCAAGATTGGCTTCGTACCTTGACTAGTTCATCAAAACCTTCAGAAACACTCTTGTCATCTAGTCGCTTGTCATATCCACCCGCAGGTCCCCATCCGTAGGTGATAACATCTCCCCAAGCAAAAGCACCAACACCCATGGCGGGAACTTTGAGAAGAGGTTGACCCTCTGACCCACCTAAAGTAATCAAAGTTCTACTTGTCGGGATTTCATCTGGAGGAAGTGCGATATGGAAACAGTCACTGGTGCCCGACGGACCAGCGATTACAGAAGAGGTTAGGGGATAGGGAGCTGCATACGTCGAGGAAGCAGCTCCTTCCGGTTGTGAAGTTTCTTGTGTAGACATGGGAGAGAGAGGGAGAGCAATTTGGGAATCTCTACGAAGAGATAGAGGCTTTTAATAAGCTATCTATCTCAAGCATCCTCTTGTCTACTAGCAAACACAAGCTCTTCCTTGCTCCGCAGGTCTAGAATAGAGCGTTGGAGGTCTGGAGGGTCGGCGGAACCTTTAGAGTCTTGGATTTACTTCCGAGGCTTCAGATACTCAAACATTGGGCTAGATGAAGTGCTTTGTCTGGTTCCACTCATTCTGAAAACTCAGAAAAGAGAGGTCAATGGTCGTGTTGAAAGAGGTCGGAGAGGTCATCAAAATAAGCAACTTGAATTTGAAGCTATTTACTGAACACCACGTCACATGACGAAGCTTCTGTCTAGTCAAAGCTACCACCGGGGGGATTGAGGTATGTAACGCTGGATTACATAGTCAGAACATACGCTGGACATACTCGCATATACAGTGCATGTCTTGAAGAGATACATAGCCAAAAATACAATGATTTCTTTGTTGATTTAACAAAGAGATCATTGTAAAAAAACATGCATGCTACATACCATCGTGTCTGGAATATGTTCGCACTATGTAATGAGCCATTACATAAGGCAATCCCCCCGGTGTACATTTTATGATTCAAGATGAGTAGTAAAACAGATATGAATAAAAATCTAGTTCAACGTAAAAATAACCGAGGACTGAATTTCTGGTGAAATGATATGGATAATGATACTCAAAGATTACAAGACAATTTACAATATATATCCTAACGATACAAGTACAATCTGTTCAGAAAATACTGTGAAGGAGTGTCATGCACGTCATGAACTACACACGACGTCAAACGGTCGGTCATTACAACAATATTCTACAAGCTGGGGATGTCACCGCATCTCACAACCACTTTCTTGAGGTGGGCAACGGTCCACCAAGGCCAGATCCTGGAACTATCGCGGGGAAGTCGGGGTAGCTTCCGTAAGTTCTGTTTGATACACATGTGCCTACCCGAGGTTGGTGGTTTAATTCTCAACCCACTGGCAAGTGAGCATAGGTGATCATGTGGCAGAGCTGCAATCAAGCTTGAAAGAAAATGAATATTGGACATACTGTGCCCCTGTATGTCGAAGAGTCGAAGCACCATACGCTTAGTAGATGATGACAAAATCTGCAGAGACGAGGTAGGCAAAAAATAAAATGAACCGAGATCTGCTCACGACGCCTTTCCTGGACCAACGCTTTAGTGATCTGCCAACTGGACCGCAGCTAGTGTGTAAAGTACGCGAACCTCTCCGTGGCTTGCGTTGTCACACTTTTGAGAACATTGTGATAAAACACGTAAACGAACTTGGAGGGAGGATCAATTTCGCTAACGGATCATACAAGGTCTGCCAAAAACAGGTTTCGTCGGTAGATGGCCATAGACGCCCATTGCAAATAAGTAATGGGTTGACTCCGAGATGAGCGCTTCTTACACACCTCTTCTACGACGACCGACCATGGCGGTGACCGAGGAGGACTACAGCCATCCTCACGACTTGGAAACTGGAGAAGAGTACAGACCTGCAGAGAATGGTCAACACGACGAGCACGAAGCTCTTCTACCCTCTCCTAATTCCCGGCACTACGTCAAGGAAGAGCCGGATTCATCCTCCTCCCACCACGCTCCGTTCTACACTAAGCATCGCAGTCTACTGCATGTTGCGCTTTCATTCATAATTGGGATAGCTGCATGTCTGTTTGTCCAACTTATCATTCACGCCGCTAGATCGCAGCACGAAGCAAGAAACGCAGGGCATCCTTACCGTCATCGGCCTGTTGGAATCATGGCATCAGAGCATGCAGGGTCAACCGAAGTACACGAATTTCCACCAGTTTCACCGACAAACGTCTTTCCTTCCCTTTTTCCTACCGACGTCGGACACGCAGGACCAACCCCTACGGGAGCCGAACCTGCTCTTATCGCTACTGCTCCTGCATACCCTCTTCACACCGGTGCTCCTAATCTCCTGGCTCCCAAATTGACTTCGAAGTCTAACTCTTCTTCCGGAAAGACCAAAGCGGATTCTTCGGGAGAGTTTGACTTATTCAAACATTGGGGAAATCTGTCACCATGGTTTAGCGTGGAGAAGGGTGGGTTTGGATTGGATTCTAGTCCTGAAGCTCCAGATACTTGTCGCGTCACCGGTCTTCATTTCCTGCACCGACATGGTGCAAGGTACCCTACAAGCTATGGTGAGAAACATGAATTTATATCTTTGTTCGACAATTGACATCAATTTTGTGACCCCAGCTGCTTATGGTGGACCTGCCAACTTCTCGTCTCGTCTTCACGCTACGGCTTCGGGTTGGAATGGTCATGGTGATCTCGATTTTATGAATGATTGGTAAGTTAGATTGTATTTTTTTGTTACCAACTATCATGTTAATCACGACAATTTCCAGGACTTACAAACTCGGAGAGGAAGGTGTGAAATGATCTTTGCAAAACCTTCTGAATTAACGTTAACAATATCCTTATTCTCAGTTCTCACTCCTTTTGGAAGGCAGCAACTCTGTAAGTTTTCAATCCCTTCCTCTTCACGATTGACTGACATTTGCAATGCGCGTAGTCGACCTCGGAGTATCTATGCGCATTAAATATGGATACCTTCTCAAGAACTTTACTGAGTCCCAAACACTGCCTGTCTTCCGTACAGAATCACAGTGAGTAATTATTGCATAGTATGATCAACCGTCTTTAAATATGCGCTACGCAGGGATCGCATGTTAGCTTCTGCTCTCAACTTTGCCATTGGTTTCTTCGGTTATCCATTCGAAGGACTCTACCAACAAAGTATCACCATTGAAGCCAACGGGGTGCGTATACCGCCTTCTTTTCTCCGGCCTCTTGATTCTAAGTACAGTTCCTGTTGACACCAGTTCAATAACACACTGGCACCATACAAGACGTGCCCCAATGCACAGGTCTCCGGCAAATCAGATAGATCGCTCTACTACGTCCGAGAGTGGGCAAAGATTTATCTTGCAAATGCTCATGCAAGATTGGCACCTCTCTTGAGAGGATATTCTCTCACTATCGAAGATATCTACACTCTTCAACAGATGTGTGCTTATGAGGTGAGATTTTTCTGGTCGTTCTGTGATCTGCTCTTACTCAGTTTGTTTCACAGACGGTTGCTATCGGCTATTCCAAGTTTTGTGAGTTGTTCACCGAGGAGGAATGGAAAGGATTCAACTATGCGTGCGTGATGCGATATCTCAAGTGCTGGTGGTGATGCTAATTGTTCATCTTGCAGCCTTGATCTCTTCTTCTGGTATGACTCCGGGTTTGGCTCTCCTCTCGCTCGTGTTCAGGGTATCGGCTATGTCCAAGAGCTTGTTGCGAGGTTAACGCATACGCCCATCGCTGTCCACAACTCTTCTACCAATGCTACCCTTAACGATAATCCTGTCACATTCCCACTTGGTCAGAGTCTCTATGTCGATGCTACACACGAAGTTGTTGTTTTGAACAGTGAGTGCTTAATCCTACGTGAACTGATTCTTGTAGATGCTAATATATCCAATTGTAGTTCTTACTGCATTGAACCTGACAAATTTCGCTGAGAACGGGCCTCTTCCTCACACCCATATTCCCGAACATAGAACGTTCAAGGTGTCTCATCTCGCTCCATTCGCCACGAATGTCCAATTCCAACGTAAGATTTTCACCACTCCTTCTCCGCTTGCAGCTACTGACTCTACATTACTTCTCTGTAGTCCTCTCCTGCACCACCCTTCCTGAGCCTCAAATTCGTATAGTTATCAACGACGGAGTGACACCTCTTACATCTATTAAAGGTTGCCCTGAACAGAAGGATGGAATGTGTCCTTTGGAAACCTTCATTGAATCCATGAAAGAGATGATTAACACTACGGATTGGGAATGGGGATGTCATGGTGATTGGCAAGTACCTCCTGGCACAAGCTGGAACACTACCACTGGATACCCTCCGGAAAGGCCATATTGATGACTAAGGAGGTTGACTTGCTGTTGCCTTTGCATTACCTTCTTTCTCTTTCTGCTTGTATCTCATAGTTTCAGTTGGGTTTCGGAATATATATTGATCATGGCTGTCTCTGGCTCTCTTTTCTCGAGCATAGGCACCTTGTCGTAAAGAAATCAAGTTCAACGTGAGTTCGTGATTGGCTGGACAAAAACGATTGCCACGTGCCTGGATTGAGCAAGCGACCTTCTCATTTATTCCCACGACTGTCAAATGTGTTAAATACAAGTGAGACGCGCTACCACTACGCCAACGCGGCTGTCATTATTTCTCAAGTATATCATACTCTAGTATGCCAGTTGGACCGGAGGCTCGTTTAAAAGCCTCAAAAAACCTACCCGGTTAAATGATTCCAAGATAACCTCCCAAATATAGGTAAAATTCCTTTATTTGTTCGCATTTTCTATCTTCAAAAACCCCGTGAGAATATAATTAGAGTTTAGCCATGATAAACGCTGCGTTGGAATTTGGAGTATCTGTTGAACCACCACTTGGGAACAATTCGGCAATATCAATGGCGTTCAGCATCACGACACACAGGAGTCCTTGTTCTCGCAGTTATAGTTCATTGACACTGATAACATTCACAGGAAGTCTCAGTGGAGGCTATACACTTCCCACCAGACTTTGACAAGACACTTACAGCCATCACATATGTCGTTGACTTTACTTGGATTTTAACCACCCACATTCCCCCAACATGTCCGCGCTGACAATACTACGAAAGAGATCTCTTCGTGTAGCCAGGAATTACACGGGAGGATATTCGGACACCAAACTCAAAGTTCGGAATGCAACCTCTACAGACGCTGAACCCGCTTCGCAGAAACAGCTGGATGAGCTGGTGCAATTGTCTCATAATCCGTGAGTAATCGTGTTTGAATACAACGACTCCGAGAAGTAGAATTACGAAGGTCCAACTGATTATCTATCCGTGTTTCTAGACAGGATTTTGCTGAGATCAGGGAAATCATTGATAAAAGGTTGAACGACAAGGGCCGAAATTGGAGGCACGCATACAAGGTAGGATTGCGATCATCCAGCTCTCAGGAAAGCAGTGCACAACGATACGCCTATTGACACAAACTTCTTCCTTTCCAGTCTCTCATTCTCATAGAACACCTTCTTCTTCATGGTCCAGAAAGTAACTTCGAAGAATTCAAACAATATTCGCACTCCGTGAAAACGCTTCGCGAATTTGAATATGTTGATGACAAGGGCATTGACCACGGTGCTCATGTCAGGCAGAAAGCGAAGAACGTCTTCGACATGATTTCGGATTCCTCGGCTTTACGATCTAGGAGAATGGCTAGGACAATTATGCGTTCAGGGTCTGTTAAATCACCTGGGAGGTCGCCCGCCATTCCACGAAGCATATCCGCGGATGGGTTCGAAGACGAGAATACCAGACGAAGAGATGCTGCATTGATGAACGGAGCCTTACTCAATTCAGAGTATCCAGAAGAGGTGGACTTACAACTTGCCATCGCTGAAAGCCATAAAACGATGCTAGCCAGACAATCGGGGACCTCGACGGAAGAGAAAGACGTACTCCGCGCCATCAATTTGAGCTTGGAGACTGTGGAAGAAGAACGTCGCGTTGGGAAAAGTGCTAACGAGCAGGCCTCACAGCTATCTTCCCCCGGAGCGTCGTCTTCTAGTTATGCGCCAAGATTGACATCTCGGGCAGTTGGGTTCGCGTGAGTCCTGATGTTCCTATCCAGTTTTCTCTGATCTTCAATAGTTATTCCGATTCATGCTTGTGCAGGAGACCGGCAACACGATCAGATCTTCTTGTTGATACTTCCATCCCTGAAGATGCACCTTCACCCCCTTTACAATACACATCGTCACAAGGCGTATACCCAGTGATAACACCTGTAACCACTGGAAATTATTTGACACAGTCTCCGACGTCTGGAACGTTTTCATATGAGCAAGTTACTTTAACCTGTCCGTATTTTCAGATGTCTGATTCTCTACGACCTTTCCATTAACAGATCACACAACCCGTTCGCCTCAAGTTCGGGAATAACAAGAACCTCCAAGAAATCTTCATCCCCGTTAATCGCGCATCATTCACAATCACGGTCATCTTCACCATCATCGAATCATATAGCATCGAGTTCGAAAGTAACACCTGATACTGCGGCATTTTCCGAATTATTTCTACCTGGAAATGGAGGTGAAGCAGATACTTTTGGCAACACGGGTACACTCAGGTATGTTCTAAATAGTGTGATGTGCGTGTTTTTTCATTGAACCGTGTACCGTACCCAGATACGGGCCTGGGACCTCTAGAAGTGCCTCAATGCCGATGATGGCGCACCAGGAGCATCGTCGTAGTACTCATAACCCCTTCAGAGTCTAAGTCTCAGATTCAATTCATATGCGAGGAATTTGTTGTAGGAGTAATTCGTTCACTCTCTGTTTGAGTCTGATTGTTTGTTCATACTAAGTTTTCTAGTAGGTGTAGATTATATGTTTCGACGGGTTCGAACGGTATTAGGTGAAGGATTTATCAAGTTTCGGCATCTATACAGCCTACTTTCAAAAGTGAATTAGCCTTGGATCATGCATTGAATTTTCATATGATGCTCTATAATCACGCATTCACCTGATCGATATCCTCGATGAGAAGCCAGTTGGGGATGGCATTCCTTTTTTCTTACCGCCCAAGCCCACTCTGAATTGAGAAGCTTTCTGTGTCATTGCCGCATCAACCATTTTGGAACTTCTTGAACTTCAACCACTAACTTACTAATTCCCAAATACCGGCGCGACGTTCACTTCGCATCACAAATTTTCCAGGCTGGCCCGTCTCCATGACATATATTATCGCATATGTCGAATACTCCAAAGTGCTATCTCCGCAAAATGTTGTCAATTCCCTTCAATCCCTTGAGGAACTCAGTTGCTAGCAGATCAGAGCGTCCGTTTCGGAATCATAACTGAAGAAATTTGCGCCGCATGTCAATGAGTAAGGTGCTTTGGAGCTCACTTGTTCAGTACCCGAGGGGTTCTCCTATACAATCCAAAACATAGTCTTCCTGCGGTGACTCGATGCGGCGACACCATTTGTTTGGAGAGGCTGACATATCTGCTTCAAGTTACTATTTACCACTACAGGAGAGTACAGGAGGTATAAAAGGGGGCGACACTGATCGTTGAGACTGACAAGACAATTCCTCACTTGGACTTTCACATACAACCTCCAACAACAATCGACAACATGGCTCCTATCACCAATGCACGAGTGTACTTCAACGAGATCCCAACAGGTCCGTTCAATCTACAAGTCTTGGTCCATGATACTGACATCCTAATATTCTGTTAGGTCTACCTGAACCAGGCAAGACTGTCATTTACGATGAATCCCAGACTATCGACTTGGAAAATGTCCCCCTTCACGGAGGATTTCTCATGAAGACTTTGGTTGTTTCCATCGATCCATACCTGCGTGGAAAGATGAGAGACACTTCTATCCGCACATATTCGGTCAGTTCTTTTTTCGAGAACAATAATATTGTCATCCATACTGATTTGTTGTCCCTCCCCACTTTGTTTGATAGAAACCGTACCATGTCGGCGAGACGTGAGTGGCGATATTCATTTTATTTTTACATCAGAACAGGAGGTGTTGAATATCTCCGCTCAGATTGTATAATTTCGGTGTCGGTGTCGTCCTTCGTTCAGAGCATCCCGACGTGAAACCCGGGGAACATTACTCCGGATATGTTTGTACGTGTTCAACCACAGGCCGTCATGGAAGAAGTCTCTTTTTACTAACATAAGCATGATGTTCTGCCGTAGATTTCCAGCAATACGAGATTCACAAGGACCTCAAGAACCCGATTTTGAGAAAGATCGACAATGAATTCAACCTCCCTTGGTCGACATATGTCGGTACTCTTGGAATGCCAGGTAGGGTAAACTGGAATGTCACAACGCACCATATTTCTGATAGCTTCCATGTTCCACACAGGCAAAACTGCATATTTCGGTTGGAATGAATTCTCTCATCCTGAAAAAGGAGATACAGTCTTTGTATCAGGCGGCGCAGGTAAGTTATAGAGAGTAAAGCGTTGTTCTTCAAGCCGTTAACCTCTCCGATATCTTTGATAGGTCCCGTCGGGTCGTATGTTCAACATAAATTATCTGAAAATTTGACAGTTACTCACTCGCATGCTTTATACACCTAGACTCGTCATCCAGTTGGCCAAAGCACAAGGTCTCAAGGTTATCGCTTCTGCCGGATCCGAGGAGAAAGTCGCTTTCATCAAGAAAGTTGGGGCAGACGTTGCTTTCAATTATAAAACCACAGATACCAACGAAGTGTTGAAGAAAGAAGGCCCTATTAACATGTATGCATTTCATTTGATTCTAGTTTTTCCAGATCGTGACATAGCTATTTGAAAGTTACTGGGATAACGTCGGAGGTCCAACTCTCGAAGCCGCACTCGAAAATTCAGCAGTCGAGTCTCGTTTCATTGTAAGTACTACTACTCTCCCATCCCATTCCTGTTATTTTATCAATTCAATGAATGCTTACATCTCAACAGGAATGTGGTATGATCTCAGGATATAACGGCGAAGGTTATCCAATCCGAAACCTCAACCTCGTCTTCCAAAATTCGATAATAATGTCGGGATTCATCGTCTTCAGGCCCAAACTCGTCAACAAATACGAAGAAACCTTCTATAAAGTATTGCCCGAGAAAGTGGCAAAAGGCGAGATCAAGTTGAATGAAGATTTGACTGAAGGATTGAAGAATGTTGGACAGGCTATTTTGGATGTTCAGTTGGGACGCAACACGGGAAAGAAGGTCATCGTAGTTGCCAGTGAATGAACGTGAAACTCAATGCTCATGTCTCAAATATTCCAAATATCCCAATAGTCCTCCGATCCTTTCTGTAATTGCCATGTACAAAAATTATTATCTCACATGAATGTATATTTACTCGTACTTATGTTTGCCTATGACCCCCCACTCTTCAGCACTATTGACCTGATCCGCAACCCAGTCATAGAGAGTGAGTCTAATACTCGTAGACTTTTGTTACCTTGCGAAGTGCAATCCTATCATTCATCATATATACTTATCCTCCTTCGAGATTCGCTGACGGTTTTTTTCTATACCAAGCTTCAGGAAATTCTTTGCATTTGAAGCAGGCCACCGTCACGGAGTGGGTGACTACGTGTGACTCGGGATCAATTATCTGTCACATCACCTTTTCCACTTTTCTCGGACCTTCGTT